ACTGTGAGCTAGCATTTACCTAAGTGCAAACCCGAACTCACTGAAAGTTGTGGTAGGTGGGAGCATTATACATTATACAGATGGAGGAAAAGGGAGTTGGTCTGAATACAAGCTAGAGCCCTTTCCACTTGCAGCTATATACAGTACATTATTACATACATATAGCTGCATGCATCAATGGATTAGGAATGTTGAATGTGCACACAACCTCTCCTGACAGAGTGGCGTGATTGTAAGGACAGTATTCATTGATAGTGTGTGCCTCCCACTATGTGGACCCAATCCATGAATATTGTCTTCTGTTGGTTTTTGGGTGTAACTGTGTTTCTGCTTCTGGCAAACACTTTTCAAGGGCTGTTTTGGGCTACAAGCTAATCCTCTCTCTGCTGATTTCATATTTGAAAGATTCTTAGGTAAGGAAACAAAAATGTGTATGTAGCTATTGCATAAAACTATAGGAGTATGGGTGGGACTTTATGGAGCATGGAGGGATTTAAATGGTGCTGAACTACAGTAGCATGCTGGGAGGTTAATCTACAAAACTGCCAAAGGGCCTTCTAGTTTCAACCTTGTAACAGACCAAATGATGAACAATGCATCAGGGCCTGCATACATAACCTATGCTTTGTGTACTCCTGCAGCAATGGCTGAAAAAGGCACAAAATCACACACCACGTCAAAAAAGCCCAAAAATCCAGCCCAGCAAGCGCTGGAGAAGCTATTGAACCAGCTGTCGTGTTCGGTGTGTCTGGAGGAGTACCGGAGACCCAGAGTACTGCCCTGTCTCCACGTCTTCTGCGAGACCTGTCTGGAGAAACTGGTGGGGACACGGAGAGACAAACTGAGCGTACCGTGCCCCAACTGTCGCAAGCCCGCTCCTCTCCCTGAAGGGGGCGTGTCCAGCCTCCCCGCTGCCTTCTACATCCAGCACCTTTTCGAGGTGAGGGAAGTCCTGGAGAAAGTGCGGGACCCGGAGAAGGCGCAGTGCGATAAATGCGGGGAGGGAGAGGTGAAGGGTTTCTGTCGAGACTGCGGGCAGTTCATTTGCCAGCTCTGTCTTACCATGCACGGCAAGTGGAAGGAGTTTCAGGAGCACGAAATCGCTAGCCTCGACGAGGTGCAAGAAACGGCGTCGAAAATGGTGACACCCAAAAAGGTGAGCTCCACGTGTTCGAAACACGCAACAGAGCCCATCAAGATCTACTGCGAGACGTGCGACGAGTTGATTTGTCGCGACTGCACCGTCAAGACCCATCGCGACCACAACTACGACCTCATCCCCGATGCCTTCCCGAAGCACAGAGATGCCATCCTTGTGTGCCTACGCCCCGTCAAATCTGAGCTTGCTAGTGTAGGGAGCACCATTGCACAGCTGAAGGCAAGATCTAGCAGGCTAGATGGACAGGGTATAGAGGCAAAGGCAAAGGTGAATGCTGAAGTAGACAAGCTCCAGGCAATCCTAGATGCTCGCAGAAGGGAGCTTCACTCCCAGATAGATGGTCAGGTGTGTCAGGGGAAGAAGGAGCTGGCGGCCCGACTTGACGGACACGAGTTGAGGCAGGCTCAGCTGAGCAGCTGTGTGGAGTTTGTGGAGGGGAGTCTGCAGAGTGGCACACAAGAGGAGGTGCTGTCGATGAAGAGACAAGTGGTGGAGAGGGTACGGGAGATGGCAGACGAGTTCAAACCTCAGCAACTGGTGTTGGGTCCAGAGAAGGAGATTAGTGTAGTGTGTGCAGACTTGAGCTCAGCATGTCGAAACTTGGGAGAGGTGAAGTTTGTTGAAAGATTCCAGGGAACACATGTCAAGACCATTGGTGGGATCAAGGCACCACGGCACATTGCGTTTGCCAAAACTGGTGAAATGGTTGTTTGTGAGAGGGGTTCTAATTGTATGAAAGTGTTTGACGGCAATCAGAGAGAGCTGCGATCATTTGGACACACAGGACCAGAGGAAAGCAGACTTGACACACCACGAGGGGTAGCCATCTCTTCTGATAACACAGTGTTTGTGGCTGCCAGCCACTGCGTGAAGAAATTCACTCTTGAGGGTCGGTTCATAGCATCAGTGGGTTCACAGGGCACTGGACAACTGCAGTTCCACGCACCATGGGCCATATCCTACAACCACACTAACAACAGAGTGTATGTCTGCGACACTCACAACCATCGCATCACAATCCTCAACCATGACTTGACATTCCATGGCAGCTTTGGTAGTAAGGGAAGTGAGGCAGGTCAATTAAACACGCCTGGGGGAATATCTTTCAGTAGAAATGGAAATGTATTAGTAGCTGACTTTAGCAATAATAGAATTCAGATTCTTGATGCCAACGGACATCACCTATCATCCATCACTAACACCGGAGCAGGAGAGAGACTAGGACTACCAATCAGTGCGGCAGTTGGACCTGATGACTGGGTGTATGAGGTTGAATACAGCTGTGCCAGAGTAGCAGTATTTGATGAGAATGGCAAGTACATCATGTCATTTGGAAAGGGAGGGGACAAAGACGGAGAGTTAAAAAACCCATATGCCATAGCTGCCAGAGATGATGGCTACATCTACGTCAGTGACACCGACAACAATCGAGTTCAAATATTCAAGTGAAACACCTCGAACACAACACAATGCTAATACAAAGAAGATACAATGGGAACGCAAACACTCACATTAGAATTAACGTAATTAACCTATTTTTTTCGATTGGTTTATTTTATGTGCCTCAGATTATCTGTGATGCATTTATACCTTTACACTGCCTGTGTTTCTGTAATATCGCCACATCATGCACTAGATTTTTTGTAAGTCATACCTAGTTTTGTTGAAGCTCTACTGCAGTATTGTTTTTCGTTTTTCTTCCTCTACTGTATCTATGTATTTTTTTTACACAAGGTTAGCAAAATATATCGCAAACTGCTGTAATCGGCAAGCGTACCTCTCAACGTCAGCGGTGGATCTAGAGTCCATTGGGTTCAGACTGACCCCGCCCCCTGTGCGCACATGGTTGCGTAACTACGCGAGATCACCATGCATTCCTTGGTGACTGCACTTTCGTCGTGCACATTGGTGCAGAGCGGCATACTTGCATACTACATTAGTGCACTCTGCAAAATAACTTGTGTAGCTTATATGGCAGCACCGTGTGTGCACAAATTACAGCGCGCAGCGAGGTTTACTGTAATTGGTCTGTGTGTCTGTGTGTCCGTTCACGTTTTCTGCCACTAGACGCAACAAAATCACCAAAACTCTACACCAGCGGGTTCGGTGCTACATTTGCTTCATTTTAAAACTGGCGGTTTTCGTAAAAACACAGCGTTCAAAAGTTATGACGTGAAAAGCAAGTGAACAAGCCAATATGCAAATTAGCACGGGCTTACCTCGACAAGATGTGCTTGATCTGCGCGCACAAGACGTCACAACGAAGGGCGTGTATCTACTCCCGCATGCTATCTACTACTGTAGCTAGCCCGTGTCAGACTCTGCGTATGCTAGCTCTTATATACTTAAATCTATCTTGAGCTGCTAGTACTATGATCCACCAGTAATTTGATAGTGATTAAGTTGGTATAGTATATATGAACGGCTCACATTCTCCAGAAGTAGTCCCAATGCAGGTGCTCTAGGAATATCAACCTTCCCCTTTTGAAAAGCCTCAACGAGCGTCGTCTCCGGGGCAAACCCTCTCACTATGGCGATAACGAGACCCACCATCTTCCGAATCTGGTGAATCATGAAGCTCTGACCTTTGACCTGTTAGCAACAAAAGAACAAATATATCTAAAAGATAGTGTTGAGAAGGTGAGTGAAATTATGCAGAAAATAATGTCTGTTTAAAGCATTTCCCTCATTTGAAGTGAAGTTAATTTTGCCGGTTCTAAAGGATTTTCGAGGAGAAAGCTTTTCCAAAATGAACCCCACACTTCCATCTTTTTTTTGCAGAAAACGTTGCAGTTGGTCGTCAAAAAACACTTCAACGAAAAGATTCCTGCTACAAGGCAAAATAGCTGAAGGGCTTTACGTACTTTCAAAGTCATGAATTCGACTTTCTTTGCAATTTCTCTGCTCTCCTCTTTCTCCATGTGCCCACAGTCAGTAACACTGTCACTCTTTTCTTCATCAGCGTTTTCTTCTTCCATCTTTACATTCTCTTTCGTTGATCTATCACCACACTTCGCTGCATCATTTCCTACTTCGCTGCTTTCAGTTTTAGTCTTTGCGCTAGTTTGCAATTCCTTCCCATTTTCTCCCTCTTTCTCTCCCTCTCTCTCTTCCTCTCTCTTTTCTTGTGCCGTTGCATTCAATATTTGCGGCTGAGACAAGCGACTTGCAAGAAAGGGAGCATCACACTGAACAAAAGAAGAAACTGCACTGATACAGTTGCTGTAAAATCTGACTGACTGTGAATGATATGATGTGTCTCATAGCACTGTCTTCCTCGTATTTCCTATGGAACAAAAAGACTAAAATACAGTTCCTATGGAGAAACATACATACACTACTAGAGATTTGCTGTTTTAGAATTTTGCAAAAAAATTCACATTTCTTTCATAGATTATAAATATCTAATTACCACAAAGGCATAATTTAAAAAATAATTTATGTGATTTAATATTCGATACAATTCACGTTATTTAATATTCGATATGTCACACATCATTATTCGATTCTTCAGAAACGTTTGCGTCTTCTTTTGTCCCAGTTTTGCTCTTTCCCTACTGGGGGTTCAGCCCCTTTTAATTAGCAGTTCTTCTTGCTGAACTGTTGTGCACTTAACAGTCTCTGCTTTGTGCTGTAGAAATCGTGATCTGAAGAGATCCAAGCCACTGCCATCATTCTAGGTTATTTGTTTGTGTTAAGGAGATCTCTGTGTTCTAGAGAGGGCTCTACCAACTGAGCTACTGAGACAGCTCAGCTGGCTGGGCTGAATCACTCATACAGAGCAAGCAGAGCACTCTGTTCTAGAGAGGGCTCTACCAACTGAGTCTACTTTGAGGCAGCTCAGCTGGCTGGGCCGAATCACTCATATAGATCGAGCAAGGCAGAGCACTCTGTGTTCTAGAGAGGGCTCTACCAAGTAGTCAGCAGTGTAAAAAAGGATACGACATATCATCGATCTCAGTGTCAATGATATTCCGATGTATGAACTGTCTCTTGAACTCTTCAACTCTCTCAGTGCATTCCTTCCAGTCCAGTGCCTCGTGGGATCCGTCAGAGCCAAACTTCTTGTTGTAGGCATCGAAAAACACCTGTGTAACCCACCAGTACGTTTGAATGGATGCGTTGACCATGAACCACTAGTAAGCTAGCATTTACATAAGTGCACACCCGAACTCACTGGAAGTTGTGGTAGGTGGGTCATTATAGATTGAGGAAAAGGGAGTTGGTTCGAATACAAGCTAGAGCCCTTTCCACTTGCAGCTATATACAGTACTTGATCTGCATACATATAGCTGCATGCATCAATGGGATTAGGAATGTTGAATGTGCACACAACATCTCCTAACAGAGTGGCGTGATTGTAAGGACAGTATTCATTGATATAGTGCATGCCTCCCACTATATGGACCCAACCATGAATATTGTCTTCAGTGGGTTTTTGGGTGTAACTTTGTTTCTGGTTCCGGCAAACACTTTACAAGGGTTGCTTTGGGCTACAAGCTAATCCTCTCTCTGCTGATTTCATATTGAAAGATTCTAAGGTAAGGAAACAAAAATGTGTGTGCAGCTATTGCATAAAGCTATAGAGTATGTATGGGTGGGACTTTATGGAGCGTGGAGGGCTTTAAATGGTGCTGAGCTACAGTAGCATGCTGGTAGGTTAATCTACAAAACTGCCAAAGGGCCTTCTAGTTTCAACCTTGTAACAGACCCAATGATGAACAATGCATCTGGGCCTGCATACATAATCCATCCTTTGTGTACTCTGCAGTAATGGCTGAAAAACGCACAAAATCGCACACCACGTCGAAAAAGCCCCAAAATCCGGCC